TCTGAACCATTCGCAAGTTTTTACATGTGACAAAATATGCATTGCGCATTCACGAGTTTTTACATGTGACAAACGGTGATTTGCAGAGTTTTTACATGTGACAAACGGTGATTTGCAGAGTTTTTACATGTGACAAACGGTGATTTGCATTGCATCTGACAGAATGAAGACTTTAGTGTTTTACAACAATTTGAGAGAATACATGTCTGAAGGTGAATTTCACACAGACCTCTCTAAAAATGAGCGAGATCAAATGCGCCGTGCGTCATCGAACTTTACAGTAAAAGGTAATTAATTCTCATTCTCCTGTTATTTTGTGTTGTGACTAACTGATCAGTTACTTAGCTCTGTCCCAAGTTGTGTATTGTATTTGTATTCTATTGTATTTGTATTGCCTTTCTAAATGAAATGATACTATACAAAAACATATTTAATTCAATATTATAATATAATTTATTATTTTATTATTATTTATAATATAATAATTGTATTCCTGAATGACCCCTTTTTTATGTTTGTGTTTCTGTTTTTTTAATTAATCATGCAAAATTAAAGGATAACAAACTCCAGTTATATAATTCCATATGAATAAATAATATTACATGCAAATGACATTTCCTGTAGGATGCTGAACTCTCTCCCACCTCTCCCCTCTGCCCCCATTGGACCTGGATCTTAACACCCCCCCCCCCCACCCACACACACACAATATATTTATTGCTGTGCCTTCTTATTTGCTCGTATTATGATGGGATATGGTTTAATTTAGTAAATGGTTGTGTGTGAAAAATGTATATCTCTAAAATGTGTGTTGGTGTATGATCACATTTGTATATGAAAATGTCTGAAGTTCATAAAAACATTCTCAGTGTTCAAGTCAATCACTGTATGGCAGAAGGTGCTATATATATATATATGGAATTGTGTATATATATATATATATATATACACACAATTCCAAAGCTGGTAAGGACTCTTTCAAATTTAGCAATAATAGTCTGAAGAAAAGGACTGATAACAGAGATTTGCTCTAATATGTATTCAGTATGATAGGCTCTGTCTTAACCCCAAATAATAAAACACAAAAGTCTTCATTCTGTCAGATGCAAAAGTCTTCATTCTGTAATAAAACACAAAAGTCTTCATTCTGTCAGATGCAAAAGTCTTCATTCTGTCAGATGCAATGCAAATCACCGTTTGTCACATGTAAAAACTCTGCAAATCACCGTTTGTCACATGTAAAAACTCGCGAATGCGCAATGCATATTTTGTCACATGTAAAAACTTGCGAATGGTTCAGACGGTCTAGATGTCAATTTTGTCCTACTTGGGTTGCCGTCCGGCGTTGTCCAATATGGCGGACCATCTCGCACATGCGCACAGCAGATCGGGCAGAGCTGCAGATCGGGTAGTGACAACCGCAACTACCTCATTCCTTCAGGGCTTGGGTCCGAAAGGCTTCTCGTTTTGCGCCGTCCCCCATTCAAATGAATTCGCCACCAATCGTATTTCCACTCTCGCGCCAGGACCGGGGGAGGGGTTACATGACGTGCATCTTGTGCTGCATTCACTTGCACTCGGACATTAGAGACTTTCTCTCATAAATGTCCGATGAGCCACAACTTTTCTTTCAAAACAAAGATGCCAACTGGGGTGGCAGCTGGGGTGGCAAGGCTATTGTTTAGGGTGGCAGTTGCCACCCCATGCCACCCCGGTAGATCCGCCCCTGAGGAGGTGTAATAACCAGGTGGTTCTTTGCTAAAGCTGATTGGGGGAAATGTAGGATATGATGTGAGGAGTCGGTACACCTGCTAACATCAGAGGGAAGCATAGAGGTCATTACAAGCCAAATAACGCAACATATACTAAATGCAGCAGAGAACGGTATACCCAAAACAACAACCAAGGGTAGGAAGAAAGTGGTGCCATGGTGGAATGAGGAATGCAGCAGGGCTATTAAAGAGCGAAATAATGCATTTAGAGAATTAAAGAAAAACATGACTCAAAATAATGTTCTAGAGTTTCAAAGGAAAAGCGCAGCTGCTCGAAGGACAATCAAATATACAAAAAAAAGAACATGGAGAGAATGTTGTTCTACCATTGGCAGAGTAGTAACATTAGGAAGATGTCTGGTCCATGTTTAAGCAGATGAGTAAGAAAAGGAAATCCATTAAAATTCCAGCTTTGGTTGATGGGGAGAGGCTGGCAGTGACAGATAAAGAGAAGGCAGATATGTTAGGAAGGACACTTGCAGCAGTACATAGTGGGGAGCATCTCAGTGATATTCATAGGCAGCAAAAACAGCAGTTACTAGCAGAGAATGAAAACGTGAAGGAGAAGAGACAGGATAATAGGTCAGCTCTGGATGTGGAATTTACAATGTCAGAACTCAAAATAGCCTTGCAAGGTACAGGATATACAGTCCCAGGACAAGACCAGCTATGTTATGCTATGTTTAGAAAGTTACCTATGGAAACTATGAAAATGGTGCTGAGTCTTTTCAATAAAATCTGGAGAGAAGGAGATATGCCAAGTGTGTGGAAAACAGCAATCGTGCTACCATTCAATAAGCCAGGGAAAGATACAATACAGCTAACCCTAGTAACTATAGACCAATAGCTCTTACATCACACCTATGTAAATGGAAGGAAAAGATCATTGTCCGTAGGCTCTCACATGTACTGGAACAGAAAGGGCTGCTGAGTAGTTTTCAGAGCGGATTTCGTAAAGGGCGGTCCACAATAGGTAAGAGTGAGTAACGATGTGGAAAAAACATTGAAAATGAAAGAGATAATGGCAATAGTGTACTTTGACATTGAAAAGGTGTATGACTCTATGTGGAGGGATGGGTAACTGATCAAATTGAGTAGAATTGGTATTGGAGGGAGAATGTACAATTGGGTAAGGGCCTTTTTAACAGACAGGACATTTAGAGTAAAGGTTGGAGCAGATATTTCCAATTATTTTTTAAATAGAAAATGGTATTCCCCAAGGGAGTGCAGTCAGTCCAATATTATTTAACATCATGATTAATGAGATATTTACATGCTTAGACACATGCATCCAATCGGCTCTATACGCAGATGATGGGGCTATTTGGATGAGGGGAAGACATGCCCCATAGGTAATGGAGAATATAGCCAGAGCGATTAAAAAAGTGGAGAGGTGGTCATATAACTGGGGATTCAAAATGTCAGAAAGCAAGTCATGCATGCTACATGGTATTTACAAACAAACGCAAGATTGATGGCCAACAGCTAACACTATATGATCGTCCAATGACAAAGGTGAATGAGTTCAAATGGACTGTGGTTTGATAGCAAATATACATGGAAAATGCATATTAATCAAGTGGAAACAAAATGCTAAAAAGTATTACATTTATTGCGAGCTGTAGCTGGATGCAACTGGGGCGCAGCTAAACAAGCATTAATAGACATTTACAGATCAATTATGAGGTCCACAATAGACAATGGTTGTATAGTGTATGGAGCAGCAGCAAAAACATCGCTTTTAAAAAAATTGATAGAATACAATATAAAGCATTGCGGCTGTGTATTGGAGCGATAAAGTCATCCCCTATCAATGCAGTTCTGATAGAAGCAGGAGAGACACCTCTGGAGATCAGAAGAGAGAAACTTGCTCTGTCATACTGGGTCAGACTACAAGGAAGTGGAGAAGAAAATATTTCAAATAGAATATTACAGGATTGCTGGGAATATGCAAAATTCCAGGGACGTGGGTTTGGCTGGACGAGTAGGGAGAGAACGAGGGCATATGGAGTGGAGAATATCACGTTTGCCAAAGCAACCCCATTTAGCAGTGTTCCCCCATGGCTTTCCCCAGAAGATAAAATAGATATGAGTATTGTAGAAAGGAAAAAAGAGTGGCAAATAAATGAAGTGGGAATTAAAACAAGTATGTATCTGAACAAAAGTTACTACAATTTCCTACACATTTATACAGATGGTTCTAAGAACAAGGAAGAGTGTGTTGGAGTTGGCATATACATCCCAGACTTTAAAATATCTATTTTAAAAAGAGCGTCTGATCAATTATCAGTGTATACAGCAGAAATGCTTGCTGTAATAATAGGATTGCAGTGGGTTGAAGAGGTCAGACCAGATAGGGTGGTTATATGTACAGATTCATTTTCCATATTACAAAGCATACAATCAACAACAACTGCCAGAGAAGACATTCTCATAGAACTGAATCATAGCCTGTTAAGACTGCACAGAGGCGGTATAGATGTGCAGTTCTGCTGGGTGCCTGCACATGAGGGGGTGAAAGGGAACGAGTGTGCTGATAAATTAGCAAAATGTGCACTACAAAAGGAAATAACATTACCAGTTCAACTTGGAGAAGGAAAAGCAGTCATTAAGAAAAAAGGGATGAAGATCTGGCAGAAAAGGTGGGAGAAAGACCAGAAAGGCAAGGACTATCACAAAGTACAAAGTATAATTAATATTCATAAAGAAAGAAACAGAAGGGAGGAAATCATGATGGCTAGACTCAGAATAAATCACACGGCTTTGAATAGTACGCTGTATATCATGGGGAAAAGTGACAGTAACAAGTGTGGGAACTGTACAGTAAAATAAGATGTAGAACATATCTTGTTACATTGTGACATCTATAAAGCGGAAAGAGAACAATTAAAGGCTAAAGTTTTAGAGGCAGAGAGGGAATGGAGTGTGGTTGGTGTTTTGGGAACTAAAGGAGAGGGAGTAAGAGCTACCAGAAAGGCACTGTTTAAATTATTGAGTGAAACTGGGGTAGGAAAACATATTTAACATTAGGTCAGGAAAGAACATAGATTTGTATTTTGTTTTATTTATTTCATGGTTTTATTGATTGATTGATTGATTTATTTTTAATTTAATTTTGTTTAGATCATAGGTTAAAGAGTTGGAATGATGTGATGATTCATACTCATGTACAGTAGGTGGCGGTATGCACCTTTTTAAGTTGTTTGCAATCCGCCAAAAACTAGAGAAGAAGAAGATATCACCAGTTGTTCGTCCCACATTTTATTCGGTAACGGCGTCTCGTCGCTACGGTTCTCTCTCTCTCTGTGTTCCTGAGAAAGTGTGTGTGAGCTCCAGCACTTCTGATCCATCATCTGTGTGTTTGGATAAACCTCTGAATGGACTGTGTGCTCTTTTTTCTGGAGCGTTTACCTCGGACTATATGAGCTAGCTTAGCATGCTAGCTGGAAACACGTTAGCAACGCCAGTCAGATTGAGAGTTTGATGGAGAGAGAAACGGTGTGTTTCAAGGAGCTTGCAGGAAAAGGTAATCTAGTAAACATGAGTAAAGTCCAAATGCTGCTGTCGTTGAAGAAGCAGCGACTCACTGCTGCTGCTGAAGAGATATTTTAGCAGGTTCCCTCATCTATAATCATTTATACAAGCGCAACTTTGAACATGTCCAGCAGTAAAATGCAACATGAGAAATAATCAAGAAACATCATACATTAAACACCGACAGGGAACATTTTACTGCACCATCATTACCTTTTCATAAGAAGGTGCCGTCAAATGTTCTGTTAATACTTGCATACTTTTACTTAAATAAGGTTTGAATGCAGGATTTGAATTTGTAACAGAGTATTGTAATTCTATACTGTAGGCGTAGTGTATCTGTGAACGATCCCAAATACAATTCATTGTTTACATTGCAGCTAGTGCTACGCCAGAAGAAAAAAACGTTTTAACTGGAAGTGGAAAGGGGCTGGGCTACATAAGGTGAATTGAGCCAACACAAATACACGATAGGTGGGACTAAGAAAGATAATTTGAAAATATAAAAACAAAGGCATTAATTAGGGCTGCAAAATGTCTCCCATTGTAATGGTGATTAGATTTTTAAATGCCAACACTTAACAGTTTGTTCTGACTGTGTGTTTCCTGTTTCCTGCAGATGTCCAGCTGCTGGTGGTGGTTAAAGAAGAGTTTCTCCCTGACCAGCAGGAGTGGAGCACCAGTCTGGACCCGGAGGACCCAGAGCCCCCCCCACACATTAAGCAGGAACAGGAGGAACTCAGGATCAGTCAGGAGGGAGAGCAGCTTCAGGAGCTGGAGGAGGCTGAGATCACCAAGTCCACTTTCACTCCTGACCCTGTGAAGAGTGAAGATGATAAAGAGAAACCTCAGTCCTCTCAGCCTCATCAAAGACAAACTGAACACATGGAAACAGAAGCTGATGGAGATGACTGTCGAGGACCAGAACCAGCCAGGAGCTCTGATCCAGAGAGCAGTTTACAACCAAAGACTGAGGACGACACTGGAGACTCTTCTGAACCTGACACTGAAGACAGTGCTGATTGGAAGGAGGCCAGAGAACCTGCATCAGGCTCAAACTCACTGAAACATAGACATGAATCTGTCAGTGATCCACAACCTAGTGCTGAAAATAAACCATTCAGCTGCACAGTCTGTAAGAAAGCTTTTTCACAGAGTGGGCATTTAAAGGCACACACGAGAGTCCATGCAGGAGAGAAACCATTCAGCTGCTCAGTCTGTAAGAAAGCTTTTTCACATTGTGGAGATTTAAAGAAACACATGAGAGTCCACACAGGAGAGAAAGCACACAGCTGCTCAGTCTGTAAGAAAGCTTTTTCACGGAGTGATAGTTTAAAGAACCACATGAGAGTCCACACAGGAGAGAAAGCACACAGCTGCTCAGTCTGTAAGAAAGCTTTTCACAGAGTGGAGATTTAAAGAAACACATGAGAGTCCACACAGGAGAGAAAGCACACAGCTGCTCCGTCTGTAAGAAAGCTTTTTCACGGAATGCAGATTTAAAGAAACACATGACAGTCCACACAGGAGAGAAAGCACACAGCTGCTCAGTCTGTAAGAAAGCTTTTTCACAGAGTGCAGATTTAAAGAAACACATGAGAGTCCACACAGGAGAGAAAGCACACAGCTGCTCAGTCTGTAAGAAAGCTTTTTCACATAGTGGAAATTTAAAAGACACACATGAGAGTCCACACAGGAGAGAAAGCACACAGCTGCTCAGTCTGTAAGAAAGCTTTTTCACACAGTGGAAATTTAAAGACACACATTAGAGTCCACACAGGAGAGGAAAAATAGAGCTGCAATGTTTGTGAGAAAATATTTAAATGGCATAATCGTTTCAAAAGACATAAGTGTGTTGGTCGTCAGCTGCTTCTGTAACTGTCAGGGAATACATTCGTCTATTTTGTATCCTGATGACCTCATGCCGTTACATGTAATACGTAACTCCCTAAGCCTGATTTCACCCACCTGCAACCGATTCGCTAATAATCACAAATCTTCATTTTCTTTGACCCCTTGACTCGACTATTTCTTGTTTAATAATCGTTACATCTCCTCAGGACCAAGTTCCTGTGTCATGCCTTTCACCTGCTGATCGCCGACTGCTCATTTAAGGTGGACTCACCTTTACAAGGGACCAGCTAGTCTTAGTGTCTTAATGCAAATGTGTTGTAAAGTGATGCTAGACCAATAACGTGCTGTTGGGTAGTGTGCTCTCTGCAGGACGGTGTCTGTACTCAAATATTGTTTATGAAATGAGAGCTTCATTCCGTTTTTGTTGTCTAAACAACGCCAACAGTGTGATACGTCTTCTTTCCAGCAGATGGCATACATGTTACATCATCCAGTTCAACTGTCATCCACATATTAATGATTCAAAACAGCAATGTGTAAGATATGGCTAGTAATTGACCATTTCAACAGAATGTGAAGAGGTTACAGTCTTGAGGCCATGTCCAATATGTTTATGTTTTGTTTGAATAAATCTACTGAAATGAGCATTCAATGACTCAATTATTCTTAATTACTGTCATTACATCATGGGTTTGCATTGCAATATTAGAACGCATTAAACCCAACTTTAGTTCTTCCAAGTTGCGGGTGTTCATTGTTTAGAAGTCCGCTGTGTTTCATCCAAGCTTCCACTTCGTGCTCCGATAATGCTGAAAGTATCTGTTGTATGCTTTACCTGCTCCAGTAACAAAAGTGCAATTCACTGGACAGAAACAAGAGATAGTGGATGGATCCCAAAAAGAACCAGAAGATAGCCCGTATAGAGCCTTCAGGTTCTGATAATGGTCAGGGACAGAGCTAGAAAAAAACTCCAAAAACCTGAATAGAGCTAGAAGATAGCCAGTACAAAGCCAAGAAAGACCAAGTAGAAAGACAGGAAGGAGCCAAAAGAGTTTGTGTTTTTAATATTCAAGCTCTTCTTTTAAGATATTAGAACTTCCTATCTCAACATGTATCCTTTTATGTCAATTAAAATAAACTTACATTTTTGCTGCCAATTATAGAGATTGTTTCACAGCTTTATCTTAAATATATAGACTTTTATCTTTACATATAGATTACATAGGATGAACAGCACGGTCCACTCTGCTGGATTCTGCCCAAATCTGCTCCAAATGCATGCACACATCTCGCTTTATCCATACTCCTGCAGTTGTATTAGGGCTGAACGATATACCGTGTCATGGCGATAACCGCGGTATGTGCATGCGCGGTATTCACACCGCAGGGACGTGCGGTTTTATTCATTTAAAAAAAAAAAATGCTTACGCACTTTAGCACATAATTCAAAATAAAGATACCCTTATTACTTATCGAAACTGCACATACAATATATCCGATTAAAGCTGAGACTCCACAGATTATTTAAGTATAGTATCTAAGGTTTGAACTGATCGAGTTTCTACACGGACCACTATTGCGGTAAGCATGTTGTAACTTCCGGTTGTTGTCATCTCCGGGTATCCCGTGTGCCTGTTCTGTTGCTGATAGCTTATTATCTTAACTTAATCGATCGTTTTAAAACTCTTGATCACGGCAACTGCCTGACGTTGTAATCACACGTTACTATAGCTTAAGCACTCACAACTCTCCTTCTCTTAGCGACTGTAACTCCACAGTTGCCTACACTCTTTTCGGGTTTTCTAACGGTAGCTACTTTAGCTTGATAGCTAGCCATGGCTCTTTCCCCACCCTCGGGTGCTATTTTCTGCTCTAACTGTCTCATGTTTGGTTACTTCCCTACCTCCTTTACTGGTACCGGTACATGTGTTAAATGTAGTATAGTTGTTAGGTTGGAGGCGGGAATCATAGCCATAGAAGCCCGGCTCCGCATCTTAGAAAGTAACTCAGCTACAGTAAAGCCCATGTTAGCCGGTGCGGACCGGCAAAAGGTAGCTCCTATTAGCCGTCCCCCGGCAACTCCCGAGCAGCAGGGAGACTGGGTGACTGTTCAGAAGGGGCATAACGCGAAACCCGCAGGTCCCCACCAACCCGTTCACGTATCTAACAGATATTCCCCTCTCAGCGAGACACCCGCTGAGAAGCCAACTCTGGTTATTGGTAGCTCTATTATGAGACACGTGAAATTAGAGACCGAAGCCTCCACAGTCACATGCATTCCGGGGTGCCAGAGCGGGGCCGACGTTGAGGTGCATCTTAAACTGCTGGCTAAAAATAACGTAAATACAGTAGGATTGTTATTCACGTCGGTGGTAATGAATGTTCGTATACGCCAATCAGAATGCACCAAACTTAATGTGGAGTCGGTGTATAGTTAGCTAAAACAATGTCGGACACCGTAATCTTCTCTGGTCCCCTCCCCAATCTGATCAATGATGACATGTATAGAGCCGCATGTCATCATTTCAGCGCTGGTTGTCTTGGTGGTGCCCAGCAAACAATGTGGGCTTCGTAAATAATTGGACAGCCTTCTGGGGAAAACCTGGTCTGATTAAGAGAGACGGCATTCATCCTACTTTGGAAGGTGCAAATCTCATTTCGGCAAACATTTCAGGGCTTTGTGGACTTAATCCATGACAAACTGGAGTTGAGACCAGGAGGCGGAGTCGCAGTCTTACACGCTTCTCTGCGCTCTCTCCTAGGCAGTCATCCATAGGAATCCCGAACCCAATAAAAATACCCAATATTAGCGGTGTGTGTGTCTGCCCAAGGACAAGTTAAGGTAAAACCTAATAGAGGTGTCATACATAATAACCTAATAAAAGTAAATGTAACAACTACTACAGTGCAACAAAACAGGAATATTAAATGTGGTCTCTTAAACATAAGATCTCTAGCATCTAAAGCAATATTGGTAAATGATTTAATATCAGATTATAATATTGATATATGCTGTCTCACTGAAACTTGGTTGAGACATGAAGAATATGTCAGCATAAATGAGGCCACTCCACCCAGCCATATCAATACTCATATTGCCCGAGGCACGGGCCGAGGAGGTGGAGTTGCAGCAATCTTTGACTCAAGTTTACTTATCAATACTAAACCAAATTAAATTATACCTCCTTTGAAAGTCTCGTTTTTAGTCTTACGCA